TATTCGCTTGCACTACTTTCGCATTCACTCTTGACTTTCGCCTCATCTCGTAAAGTGTCTCCGAGCCGGCCACCAAGCGCTGACGCAGCTTCACGGTCATCGCAGGAAGGTCTGCGCTAGACTCAGCCTTGCAGACCGCATCTCAGCTTATGAACGCCTCCACTTCTTGGTTGGACTCCACGTCTCTGCAGCTTGGGAGCTCAAGTCTAGCCAACATATACGCCCCACCGGATGAGATGCACACCGCACATACTAAGTGGCTGGCGCGCCTGCAGTCCCCCAGCGCGTCTTCTCATCACCCCCAGCCCACGACTTCTCCTGGTAGCCTAGTCGCTGCTTGACTTCATCTACTGTCGCCTTGTCTCCTGTGTTCTTGCCAATGTTGTCGCTAATCTTGACGGCGTAACGCCCCGCAGCCGAGGCGATCTTGATCACAATGTTGAGGGGCACAGACTTGTTGCCTGTTGTTTGCTCGACAAAATCATCTGTCATGGTCAGCCATGTCTTGCATCATTTCTATTCGCGCACTCACTTGTCAGGAATGTTCCAACACCGAAAGTGGGCTGGAACCCTGCTGCTTCCGCTGCAGCCTTGTATTTGAAGCACAGCTCAAGGTTCAAAGAGTCGGAGAATACGATGGTCTTTTTATCCTTGATGCCTTCCTGGTCGTAGAAGTCGCGCATCATCTTGATGAACTCCAACGGATCTCCAGAGTCCTGTCGCACACCTGCAAACACCTCGGCATAAGTCTGTCGCGATCCTAGATTTCCATCATATGGTGCTTGGATCGGCGGGTTGGTTGACGCCATTGTCTCCACGGCATCGTTGTTGGTGGTTTGGCCAGCTGACGCCAGCGTTGTGCCACCGCCTGGGATAGCCGTGGTAACGCGAGGAATCTGCTTCTTGAAGGCTCCTAGGAAGGTCGGTGTGCCGAAGGTATCCGTGAGTGCGATGCTCAAGACGCCTGCGCCAAACGTCGCTGTCCAGTATTCCAGGGCAATCTCGTTTGCGCTCTCGTAGTTGTTGGTAATGGCAGCCACACCCATGAACCACTCATGCGCGACGGTGCCCACAGGAATAAGGCCGTGCTTCATGGCGAAGTGGACATTGCTCGTCCCTGAGAGTTTGCCTTTCCACCCTGCCTTGTCGCCCTCGTCAGCTGCCCGGCGCAAGCCCTGCAGCACTAGATCCTGAGTGTGGTAGTCGCGACGTCTCCGCGAGCCGAACTCGGAGAAGATGCATCCTCCTTCCAGCAGACTGCGCCCCTTCTGGTATGCCTTTTCGACCTGACCCGCATGGCTCCAGTCTGTCTCGACGAACTTGAAGTATGCCTCGCTGACCAGCGCGAGTAATGGAATCTCGTACAGGATGGTATCTAGCCAGAGGCCCTCGGTGTGGATGTGGAAGTCGCCGCTGTCGCTATCTGATCCGGTGTCATTGGCGGGTTGGAAAGATAGCTTAAGCTGTTTAGAGGGCTTGAGGCGGAACGTGGAGAGGAAATGGAGGTATTGCGCGTTCAGGTAGGGGCAGGTGTTCTTGAGAAAGTTGATTTCGGCGTCGGACACGGTTATATTCTCGAGTTCTGGAGGGTCAGCAGTTATCGCATAGGAGAGGAAGAAGACATACTATCTACTTGCGCTTGTAACCATTTGAAGGCTGCGCGATTCAGCTTCTTGTCGGGCGTGCGGTTTGTGAAGCCGTAGGTGACTGAGACATCTGGGAAGAACTTGAGTATGCAACATTGCATAGTCAGCTTGTAGAGATCGGTATCTAAGAGGGAAATGATGCCCTCAGGCAGGTTGGCTGTTTCCGCGGCCATGGTTGTGTGTGGGTGTATTGCGCGATTGTGTGATTCAGCCTCAGGGTTGCACTGCGATCGCGATAGATGGAGGGGTGGTGGGGCAGGCGCGAGGTTATAAGGGCGCGTAGAGTGGGTCGCGCGTAACCGTGGTTGAGAATGAGAAACCTCGTGCGATTGTAAATTGGTGGGACAATCGTCAATGCTAAACGTGTGCCTTCACCAGACAGAATATGTTCCGAGCAGTGACGGCATGCGGCGCGTGAAGTCATCGAAGGCTAGCGCCGATTGCCGTCAGCCCTACCAGTCAAGAAACCCTGGAGGCGCATGAAGCCTGGACTCGTTCCGCTCTTCACACGCCTCAGGGTCCAGCAACCGTCGCTCCTTACCTCGCATAGACCCAAGAGATGCTCGTTGCCGTCTCGATTCTGGCACTCTCGCTGTCTTTCCTCGTCTACCAGCGCCCGCCCTCGACATGGCTCGCCTTCATTACTCGCTTCACCCGCTCTGGCGCGTCGTCGATACCTGAGAAGTCGCAGCATGGCGAGACAGACCACAGCACCCCCGCGGCGGAGCAGCGCATAGAGCTGCAGACTCCAACAAAGCATGAAGATACTAGAGTGAACGCAAAGAGCCCATCTCCCGAATCCACACCAAAAGCTGCGCCGGTTCCTGAAAAGGATGCGCCTGCAGTACCTACCTTTACGCTCAACGAGCACGAGAGCTCCGACGAGGATGAAGAAGACAATCTCCCACCGCCCTCTTTCCCAGCCATGAACTCCGCCCAGCGAGCCTCGAAGCCGCCCTCGCTATCCGCCATGCCCCCTCCCTCCACCATGGCTCCACCCAGCAAGCCCTCGCTCATGGCCCCGCCACCAAAGCCCACAACCTCGCTCATGCCGCCACCCCGAGTCGCAGCTTCAAACCTGCGCGCCCCCCCCAACACCTCCACCCAGTCAATGCGCGTACCCACAACCGGGCCCCTTCCGAACCGCGGCCCGCTACCCAATCGCGGCCCACCGACCTCAAACGGCAGCCTGGGGCTACCACCGACCGCAGGCGCCTCACTCAAGACACCAAATGCGCGAGGCAAGGTACTCCTGTCGCCCGGCCACTCGCCACTCGACTGGGCCTATCTGCAAAAGTCAGGCAAGAACTTGTCGGGTGTGGACTCGATGATACGCGTCACACCCGCTATGCTCAAGGAGAAGAACGGCCGGAAGGGGAAGCCCGCGTGGTCGAGCTATCAGGGGAAAGTGTATAACATCTCGCCCTATCTGCCGTTTCATCCCGGTGGAGAGGGCGAGCTGAAGAGAGCGGCGGGCAAGGACGGGACGAAGCTGTTCATGGAAGTGCATCCGTGGGTGAATTGGGAGAATATGCTCGGCGAGTGTATGGTGGGTATTATGGTTAGTGAAGAGCAGGTGCCGAGTGATGCTGGTGGATTAGAGGATATGGATTGATACCCTATAGTACTCTGAAGACGCATCGAACGATGAGTACGCGTCAAACGACGAAGACGCATCGAACAATAAAGACGCATTGGACGATAGAGACACATCGAACGATACGATGATAGAGCCAACCCAAACAAAAGCAGTTGCAGGGCATGATAAGAGCTTCAGTGGGCAAGATTGGCTTCCCGACTCCAAGCAGAGCGCCGATGGCTTCTTTCGTAGCCTATATGGGAGAACTACTGCGAGAAGTATACTCTTTCCCATGGCCGATACATTGATGTTAGTGATAGGTGATGTTCTGATCGCTGCAGGTCTATTAGAACCGCTTCTAGAGCCAGGCCTGGTGCGCCTTCGATGGCAATGCGTATGTATCCCTACTAGAGTGAAATGCCTACGAGATCTTTAGATGTTGAGAATCTAGCAGGCCTGTGGCGAATCTCTTCACAGTGACGTTTTAGAGTTTCGTGAGGGAGGTATAAACGAGCTCATCGACCACATGCAGCGTACCTCCGGTGCAAGAGTGCGCGCATCGCCTCATAGCCATCAGTCTAGAAACCAGCAGTATATTACACCGCATCCTGTTCAGTGGATCCGAAAGGCTGTCACATCGATTTTCGGAAGCTCAAGAAATAACTCGTCATCATGTCTTCCCCAGCACAACACACCAAGCACTGCTACCGCCGCTGCCAACAGCCCACAGCCTCAACAATTGATTCTCCATCTACTGGCTTGCATGCATCGCAACCGGCTCCGAAAGGTCTTACAGCAGGATCGAATCGAAGATGTTACTACTGATCGGGCATTACTGAGCTTCTTGCGAAAGCAATACCTAAGCCACCGCGGTCGCTTCCTCCACATACTCTCCCTGAAGAGCGTCAAAGGAATCTCCTTCGTCAAATTTCGGCTTCCGATCGGTGGCAGCGTAGATGTGCGACACCACGACCCATGTTGTGTTACCAACACGATAGGATACACAACCTGTGAATGTATATCACCTAAATCCAAAGTCGAGCCTTCACCAGGGGCGGAGTATCGCTGCATTCCTGGCCCGCCAGCTACATACCCACCGATCCCACCAGTCTACCTTGCGAATCTATTCACGTGTCCCACAGACGTCCACGAAAAGGACACATGGATATTAGATCAGGTCCCCAAGCGCACATGTGGTGAGCTGCGCGGTCAGATAGGGCAGCCTGCTGAGGGGTGGGGTATCTACTACGATGAAGGCTTGGATCGCGATACGCTTGCGCTGACTATCCTTGTGGTGTTTCTTATCGCCAGTCTGCTTTTTGGTGTCCTTTGGTCGCGGTTTCAGTATGATGTTCAAGGAGCTTTTGGCGTGAGTGCGTATATGATTGCATGTTACGCTGTTCTGCTCCCTGTTATTGTCACGCGGCTAGAGAACAAGAGTTAGCCTAATGAGATTTGGTACCCGTTATGGGATTAGGAAAAAGTTGCGGCTGCTCGTACCAGAGTATTGGTAGTTCATAGCCATGGTTTCACGAGAAGTGAGTGTTGCATAGGCAAGAGCTCACACATGGTTCTCAGCTAATACACGAACAGTACAACGAACACTCAAGCTGAATAAGGGTACGTGGCAAATAAGGACAGTATTTTGTCATTCAATCTTATCACAAAATGCTAGTCGTATGCATCAGTTCAAAAAGGTAGAATGTGCGGACAAAGAATACTTCAAGTACTTTCATGGTACCGAGCCAGCCATCCCTCTCTCCTGCGAACAGATATCACTCTTTCGGCTCTTCCTCTTCGTCAAAGAGCGCGGCGATATCTGGATCGTCCGTCTCCACCATGCCTACAGCGTCCTCTGCCTCGAGGTCTTCCCATACCTCTCCCAAAATAGCAGGGTCGATCCCTGATAGATCGGTATTCGCCAACTGCACTCCCTTCCGAAACATCACGCGGAGATCCGCAGACGCCTCGGCGCGCAAGTCCTTCACTTGTCCCAGAACTTGGGCCAGACGCTTCTCCAATACCTCCACGGTTTCTGAATCCAAGCCGACGACAAGAGATTCTTGTGGCCTAGCTTCATCAATCCCCTGAACTACCACAGGCAACGGTGAGGTTGGCTGTGGTGGCAGGTTCTCTTCCTGAGAAGACGGCCGCCCAACCCTACTTGATGGACGAACGCCAGGTGACTGGGATTCTTCACCACTGAGTTCAACGGGCACTACATCGTGATTTCGATGCGCATTTCCGTCTTCCTCTTCCTCTGCCTCCTCAAGTCCAGCGGGCACTACATCGCTATTTCGATGCGCACTCCCGTCTTCCTCTTCAGCCGCACCGACGTGTTGTGCGTCTCCACGACGTAGAACACTCGAGCGCTGCATACTAGACGGCGGCGGCGGCATGAGCATATCCGAAGATGGATGTCTCCCTTGTCGCAACTGAAATGCTTGCCTGTCCATACCCATAGTGGGTCCCCCTCGGCCTCTTCCAGCTCTGTTTGAATTGACCTGGTAGTTGGGCCTTCGTTCCACCGGATAAGGGGTTTCGGGAGTCTGCGCGCATGGCCCATTGGCACGTTCTTGTCCACTCGGTGGCGTCACCGCGCGGTCTTGATTTGACCTGATCGGTGGGCCCATGGCAGCAATTCGGCGCTGGAGATTGTTACCACCCTGTTCAGGAGCTTGCACTGCACTCCGAATTGTCTCTGTTGGCACTGGGGCGTGGCGAATCCTTCCTTCCATCATGCCGGTCATCCGTCTACGGCTCACATGCCCGCTGGCCGTGACAGGCGTTTCGCCATCGGATGGGAAATCGGCGTCCCAGAAACTTGGAGTGGGCGCGATCTTCACCATCTTCTCACGCGGTACATAGTCGCTAGGCGCCTCTTCGTCTTTGCGCTTCTTCGGCGTCATTGTAGTGGTTGGAGGTGGAGTGTTGAGTGAGTGAAGATTTCCAGGGAAGAAGTGAGACTTCAGTCGTGCCTTCCTCACAACACGCCCCACTTATACTTAGCTCCGGCCACCGTGACCAAGGCAGGTATAACTACTGATCACATGTTAGGCGAAGCAAAAGTTGTAAGAACAAAGATTTCATGTCATAATACTAGTGGCAGAATAGCTACTTCACATAGCATTCAGTGCCATCGCGGGACTGCACCATAGGAACTAACTCCTCGCTCAACATCCGTAAACAATCCTGAACCCTTGTACCGGGAACGCGGGAGGCGCCACGTTCGAGAACTCCCAGTAGTTCGGCGCAGACGGGCTGTCGTACATCATTGCCATCATGAATGACATTGTCTCGTTACAAGCCGTCTCGTCGACAGCTGCAACGCCGCCGACACTCCTTGTCCTCTCAAGCGCCTGGCTTTCGCCGTTGACCGTACCGAACAACAAGGCGTTCTTCTCCGCCTCGTATGTATTCCATGTAGCGATCGCACCGGCTTCGCGCTCGACTTGGTATACGTGAAAGCTTGGGTTCGGGCCAGAGATCTTCTGGAGCTCAAGGCGGGGGAGGACGAATTCGAGACGGCAGGTGTAGTTCGACGTGCTGTTCGGTAGGCCTTGAAACTGTACACGTGTGGCAATTTCTCCAGCATCTTTGACCTGACGACGTAGCATGAAGAACTGCTTTGCTTGGTGTAGGTGGTCGACGTCGTAATCGGGGTAGCGCGCGTTGATGACCGAGAGATCGGTCGGGTAAACTTCGTGGCATACGTATTCTCCCGAACCGAGGGGAGGAGGGTTGACGGCGTTGGGATCGCCTTCGCAAAAGCGGACGGTGGAGTTACAAATTGTGTTGTTCGCGAGCGATGTCGAGTTTGGCTGTGGGTATGGTACGCCAGAAGCGTGTTGCGAGAAGAGTGCAGCGAAGCATAGAAGAGCGGCGCGGAACATCATCTTTGGATGGGAGCGTGCCGTGAATCGTCTCGTAAGGGCTGTCTTGGTAGCTGAAGTGTAGGCTTGTTGGAGCACTGAACAGGAGTGTCAGAGTATGACTAGAATCTTAGGTAGTGTGCGATCAGTAGGAAGAAATGGGTGATAGAAGGAGTGTCTTGAGTGTTGAGGGTGAGTAGCTATATATGCCAGACACGTTGTATTGTCCACCTATCGAGCTTTCCTCCACCTCGCATGTCTGGCATGAGTAGCCCTCCATGTGGAAAGCGAGATACGCTGCGTGGGTTGAGGGAACAAACTGGTAAGCTCGACAGAATCTTGGTAACTCGCTGCTACTCCGCCAAAATGCGTCTCGAAGCACGCTTGCCGTACCTAAGGCGCAATTCTCGACAATTGCCAATCCGAGAAACAGCTTTGGAGTGTTGGTGAAGGTCGTCCCATCGCGTTCAAGCCGCGTGCTGATGACGGTTATGAGCCATCATAAGCGACACCATCTTGGCCTTTGGCTGGCGATCATAAGAGCTCGGAGATATGGGAACTCCTCCGCCAACGCGACGTTGTTGGCGTTGTGTGTGTGCGAGCGGATGTACAAGGCGAGTTGGGTTGCGATTGCCGATCGTGAGAGAAGGAGCCTGGACATGACGGATGTGGGCTTAGTCAGCTGGCACTAGTCCGCGACGCGATACTGACGCGACCAGCGTGCAACTTCTATTACCCGCTCACGTACACACCATACCCGTACCAAGAACAGTCCATCGCGCCTGCATCTACCATTTCTCGAAAGAGCTATGGTAATGGCTCAAGTCATTGCCATCAGTCAACCAGGAATAATTTCGAGGCTGTTCATCACCCGATACGAAGGTGTGACAGAGTGACGGCTACTTTCGTCCGACGACAATTCTCTTCTGATCGGGTCGAACGGGAGCTCGGAAACGATGGAGCTTCTAGGTGGCGCAATGGGCCGAATTGGGCCCTGTGGCATGCCCAGCACCCTCACGCCCGAATAGACGACATGGCCGCGTCCATCCACCGCGATGATCTCCAGGGCATCTTGCTGCTCTTCTATCATGATCGAGATTGTTGAAGATCCGGTATTGTTGCTCTGCAGCTCGACTTCCCATGTTGTTGTGTGGGCAGCGGAGCATGTCAAGCCACCCCCAAGTGCACCCTGAAGTGTCAGCAGCTTCATCTTGTCTCTATTCCTCTCCCTTTCTACAACCACTAGAAACCTGCCGTTGAAGCTCGCAACTCCAGCGACAACGCTCGTGCTGACTACCCTATCAGAAATGGGCCTTATTGGTTGACGGAGAATGTGTGGATCGAAGCCAAGAGTGTCGATTGCCACGAGGAAGGTCGCTGGGAGGTGTGAACGTGGTTGGTGGTCGACGGTGCAGAGGATGTAAGGCCGACCGTTTGGAGAGATGGTAAAAGCCGCGTTCGTTATCTCATCGCGATACGCCTGCCTGGAGTCAGCTTTGCGCCGGGTCTTAGAACATGCCACTTACGCGTTCATTGCTTCTCGCATTACAGTCAACGTGCCAGCAAGGATCCAGGCGAGTGATAACCCAACAATACAAGTGATTGCCTGTTGTCAAAGCAAACACCATTGGCCCATATATGGCATCACTTCGACAGGGCGAGAACCCAACAATCTTGACAGCACCGTTGTTTTGAGGACACTTCAGGACTACATGGTCGCCCTGAACGTTCCAGGCCGGCATGTACCTGTATGTGAAGATCTTCACTGCACTCACTCCCTCTCCACCCACTGCGATGCTCGCCGTTGCTCCTCCCTCGGCAGACTGGCGTCCAAGTTGTGAGATCGACACGGATCTCGGGGTCCAGTTTCCGTCCTGGTCAATTCGCTCTTCTCTCACGAGGCTAGGCACATGGCCGTTGTTTGTGCGATACTCGTCATACACCAGCAATCGATTGTGGGTGATCACTGCGAGTAGATCCTCTGAGAGAGCAATTCCACGGATCTCTTCATCTTTCAGAATCATCGAAATATTCAAGACGGCTTTGGGCTGGATAGTCCGACTTTTGTTCGCGCTCTTCACGTCGTATAATCGTATCTGCTTCGATGAGCATGTTGCCACCCATCCTAACGATGAGATCGACGTTGCGACATCGGGCGCATTCAGAAACGACAGCCGCCTTGGTCGTTGTAGCAGATTACTCGACTGCGATCCTGATGAGGCTGAATACACCTGGAAGTAGTCCATCGCCAACGACGAGCGACGCGCCGAAGGGCCGGTAGAGCTGCTGGATATGGACATCGTCAATGCACTCTAACTGCAATCATCACTGGGAAACCGTTAGCTGGGAGTTAACCAAAGCTTCATCCCTGGAGAGCCTCGAATGTATGTAGGTCAAGGACGTAACACTATCTGACATACTCTCAGCTCGCGATCTTGTCCGCATGCGGCGTACTCGTTATCAGCTGCATTGGCAATATCCTGCTTGTATTGCACAGGAAGTCCACACAGAACGCACGCCCAGAGGAAAGCAATATCCACTATGAGGAACGTTGTCTCCACAATGTAGTTCGGCCCTATCAATTACCAGAGTTGTCGCCTAGCTGCAACACGTAGCCTGAAATGTACACCGGAACGCGACTAAAGCGCGGCTGAGAGGACGTCCTGCACCATCCACCAATGTTTGTCGACCGTGGCGCACTTAGTTTGGCCTAGCAACCTTGTGCATACGAGCATGTGCGACCTTGGTTATCTTTCCCCGATATCCCGCCTTTCTGACCAATCACAGCAATACCAAGTCGCGTGCCCATGTACCGTCCTCATCACGAAGCCTATCTCTCCAGTCACTCTGGCGTTGGTGGGCAACACGCGAGGCAGACAGGGAGGCCGACCGGTATGGTCTAAGCCCCGCCACAGGTGGTTTGGGGAGTGAAGCTGAAGACGTGCCGAATGGAGGCCAAATAGTCACGAAGGTTTGCATTTGTCGCGCAAGCATCTTTTTCTAGTCCAAGGCCGCAGTCAACCTTCATTATTAGTTCGCAAACATCCTCAGCCTGACGAGGTCGTACTTCGGTACGGATTCGCCGGGGAATCCCACGCAAAATGGCTGAAGAAAAGCGTCCCCTTGACAGATCGCCATACTATGTGACCCATTCAGAACATCTTGACCGTGTTCTCAGTAGGCCTCAACTGGCAGGTAAGCGCGAAAGGAGTGAATCAACAAGTACGCTGGTTGCTAACTCCCCAGGCATTGGCATATCCGGTTGCATAGGTGGAGGCATCTTCATTACATCTGGTGCACTGATCGCTACCACTGGATCTTTAGGGGCAGCTATCAGCTATGTAGTTGCAGGTGGTATCGTCGCTTGCGTCATGTATACTATCACTGAGATGGTTGCATGTCGACCGTTGACCGGAGCTCTCATTGATCTGCCTCACACGTTCTTAGACCCAGCCTGCGGTTTCGCTATCGCATCTATGTACGGGTGAGTATCGATAGAAAACTTCTGAAAGGCGTCGCTGACGACCATTAGGCTAGGCAAGATTTGTGCGATGGCTACTCTTACAGCGAGTTCGGCGGAGCTGACTGCGCTTCTGAAAAGCGACCCAAAACCGCATTCTGCCGGTGCTGAGGCAGCTATCAATATCGCGTTCATCGCCCTGACTACCCTTTCCCATTGCCTCGGCGTCAAGGTAAGCTATGCCCTTGCACAACGGCGGACTTGGCTAACGTTGTATTAGCTGTATGGCAAGATCGAACGAGTACGTTACCTTGAGCAAAACAGCACTAGGGGTAGTTCCGACCCGTGCCGCATTTTACAAAATCATCACTAAGCTAGAAGTATACGTTAGCTTAGAGGGTGTTCACTTGCTAAGAGTTAGCAATCTGTATGCGGCAACATGCGACACGGATTCGATCACCCTGGTGACGGCTCTCGATACGAACAGCGAACTGACGATCACTTAGGTCGTCATGTGGTTCAAACTGAGCTTACTGGTCCTTGTATGTGTTATGGGTGTGGTCTTGAACTTCTCCGGTATGCTTCCGCGCTTCAATGCAACATAGCCATGTGTCTAACGCTACCAAGGCGGCGGCCCGAGACAAGGAGAATACCATTCGAGTACGTTCAACAACTTCAGGCTACGTGTGGCAACGCTGACCAATGCAGATTATACGACCTTCGGATTCACATCGGACTGGAAGCCAATTGGCCACAATACTACCACTCCTGTCTCTCTCAAGATGGCTGGCGTTCCTGATGAAGCTTTCGGTATATCCGGCCCCGGAGGCACACTGTTCGCTCTCATGTGGGTTTCTAGCATGCCTCCAGATACCGCAGAGAGCTAACATCTTGTGAAGCACTTCAATCGTCCTAGCCATGTTTTCTTGCTTCGGAGCAGACCTTGTCGCTATGACTGTCGGTGAAGCAAAGAACCCTTGGAGGGACGTGCCCATCACCATGTCGTTCGTCTACATCGTTCCGCTCAGCATATACCCATTCGCGATGCTAGCTGCTGGAGCGAATGTCAACTACGCCGACCCGCAGCTTCCGAAGATATGGGCGAGAGGCGACTACGCTACGAAGTCAGCGTTCGTAATCGCGGCCGAAGAGTCTTCTATCCACGCGCTACCGAAGGTTTTGAACGGGTTGTTCATTATATCGGCATATACTACAGCCAATACCGATCTCTACGCCGCATCTCGTAGTGTGTTTATGCTCTCACAGCAGTACCTCCCAAGGAATATCGCAAAGATCTTTGGTCGGACTAACAATGGGCATACACCTTTGGCGGCCATTTTGCTGTGCTCAGCACTCGGGTTCTTGTCTCTGATAGGCTTGGCGGACAAGACTGGTTCACAGCCGCGTATCACACTCTCCGAACTGTACACAGGCACTGCGGCATGCATCTATCTCACTCTTTGCATCACTTTTCTGCGCTTTAAAGCTGGCCTTGACCGCTTAGCGAGGCGGCAGATCTTCGGTCGCAATCATCCACTCTACATGTCACGCCTGTTCAAGTCCAGATGGCAACCACTGCCTGCATATATCGGGATCTTCGGAAGCGCGTTCGTTCTCGTATGGTCTGGCGTTCCACCACTGGTCATTCTTGTTGCGAAAGGCAGCCTCACTTCCACGGACAACCTGAAATCTACCATCAGCCTGGCTTTCGACGTTCTTGGTGCATACATTGGCCCCTTCTTGTTCGGATCTCTGTACCTCTCGTACAAGTACATATATCCCCGAACACCCAGAGTTGACCTCCGCAACCTCACGGTGGAAGACTACGTCCTGGAAGATCTTTCCAGCATCGAGCTCGAAGGTCCAGTCTCAGCACCTCCAGTGCCGCGACATCGGTTCGGTTCGTACGAGATGGACGCTCAGCATGACGGCATCGTGAGTCCTCTGAGCACATTTGAAGACCCGTTCAAGCAGGAACAGGTGCATCTTAGTGTGAGCATGGACCCCATGATGCAGGAGGAGATGGAAGCGGAGGCTTCGAGGAATAACGAAAGAGCGCGGATAGAGCAGATTTTAGAGAGAAGACCAGCGCGGTTGGCACGTGGAGTGTGGCGAGAGATCTGGAGCTTTGTAATTACAGATAAGGACTAAGCGCAAGGAGACAGGCATAGATAGCGCGTTATCGACTCTCTTGAATCTCTGAGAACTCTCATCTCCAGAGTGAGCCTAACTTGGACAAAGTCAGTAGTTGTCGCGACATATATCACGGCGCTGTTCGGCCCTTTTCCACAATGACATTCGTATCTCGACGTCGGAATGTGGAGTACCCAAGCGCGGACATGGTGTTGTGATGGAGCGCGGCCGCCGGGAGAACTCGGGTCGGATCACGTGTCGGGCGTCGGACAATTTCGAGCGACGAGATGCACCGAGCAGCGAACAAGGCTAGCATCGGCTGGAAAGTGAGGAACGAGAATATTGTGTGTTTGACACAGTAAATTGGTATTGATGATGTTGGTATAGTACGAAATCGTAGCCCTTTGTCGGGGTCTGTTACGAGTTGCTAAAACGCTAAATGCTGAGACAAAAGTGAAATGCGTGTTCCTCCATCACTTCTCGAGGTACACGAGCAAGACACCCTGAGTTGATGTCGGTGTCTGCTCGTGACCTGGCGGTGTGGCTCTCGCGGCATTCAGCGCGCGGCTTCATCCTTCTCTTCTTCGTAGTGTGTATGCGCTCCAAGGCGCGAAGCTGGTGTTCTGCTCTTCGGGTTCTCCACCCTTCCTTGCTTCATTCACTGCACCTCGTACAGCTCCATGGCCCTCTGGAGGTCCTCAAGGCTGGCCTTGTCGCCATAAGCCTCTTCCAAGATCCTGTTCCTGTCCTTCTGGGTGGTCATCTTGGCCTCGAGTCCAGCAATTGCCCGCTCCATGTCCTCCAAGCTTGAGCGCTCGCCGTAAGAGTCCATGAGCATCTGGTTCTTTTGTTCTTGAGTGAGCTCAAGCGCAGAGTGTACTTTGCGGTTGGCCTCGTTGAGTGCATTGGTCACGCCAAAGCCTATGTTGGCATTAGCATCACCGAGCGTAAGGGGTCGGCGAGGCTGTGATGCGGTCTTGGGAAGGTAGATCATACCAATGGCTACCGCCGCCATGGTCGGGAGATACCTGGTCTTTGTTAGTGGTGATAGGAATCATATAGAGGGAGAAACGTACCATCGTGCTACCCTTCCGAGCCTTGGGACGACACTCGCACCAGGGGTGGATGTCATCTGTGCTGCGGCGGCATCTTCCATGGAGATGGCACTGCGAGCACGTGTTGAAGTGGTGAAGAGCCTCTGGCGGACCAGGGTAGATGTGCGGAGGAGGAAAGACATGTTGATGATTGTGTGGTAGTGGCGAAAGTAGTGCCGAGTATGGTGATGGTTCCTCGAGATGGTAGTTCTGGCGCGACTTATATCTTGTCGCTTGGTGTGCCCAGGTGTGGTTGTGTTTGACGTTGGTAGGTGTGATGGCCAAGACGTGTGAAAGTATCGGCCGCGGTTTGACTTCGGTAGTGTGGTGTTTGATTGATGGCTTGCTACGTGTAATGTGTTCCGGTGAGACGTCCCAAGCGCGGCGTATGCGGACTGTATATACGACAGCCTTGTGCGGGGAAATGCAGGTCACAAGTAGGCTGTGCACTCATGTCTCTCCACCACACCCGTACATCATACGACGAATCACAGCACTTGACATCACCGGGCTCCGTGACGCAAATGGACTGATGAGCTTAGTCCGACGCATTCTCGCGTCGCGTCCCCAGACCGAAAGGCCGCTGACGTACCAGGTCGTTGGGTGCTCCCCTTCAAAGGGTTTCCCGGCCGCGCATGTATCGCGGCTTCTCCTGGCGTGCCGCCTGGAAAGGGTTCGGCTGGTGAAACGGCTGCCACCGAGATCCTATCGGACGCTGAGACGACGGGACTGGGCCATGTGGGGTTAGTGGTGTGCTGATCGTGGTTAGATGGCAGTCTTTCGATTGTGGGGTGAGCACGCGCATCGCGTGGCTGGCCGAGGTTCCCGCGACGCTGATGTCAGCGTGCAGCTCCGCAACCTGTTCGTCCTGCCCAGGTGTGGAGTGACCACAGCGTCAACACCACCAGCTTCATCAGCATCTGCATCGTCATTAATGCCCACAATGATTTATTGAAAGAAAATTATCGCGATCTAGACCATGACCGCATCGCAGCCGACCATGACTCTCCAACGTCTCGACTGTCAACAATGAGCACACGCCCCACTCCGGATCTAAGAATTTCAGGCTGGTAATTTGACTTTACGGTGCAAGCACTGTTGCACCTGCTTGCGTTGCAATACGCGAAACTCACTCACGAAGCAATACCATTGGGAAGGCTTGGTACTCCTTTCGAACCACTGACTAGTTACTCGGACCTTCAAAGTTTCTACTACCGTGCGCTGGCACGACCTCAGGGCAGTGTGCGTCCACCTGTCTGATTGCATACCTGGTCCACTGTCGCTTGAGCCCCGAACCATGATCAATTATGGCCAGACCGCCCGTCTTTTCGACGCCATCAATATTCATACCGGGGATGTACTTGAGATCCACGCCACCGATCAACATGAGTCCCTCCAGTTCTGAAGCCACAAGTCTTCGCAAATCACGTTCCGCGTCTACCATTTCCAACCGTGGATCATTAACGATTTTGACAGTCCTCTTGTCGTCACGGTCCATATCGGCTGTGATCATAGCCATACCATCTTGTCCAGCGTAGAAGGGATTGGCCACCATATGCCAGATGACGCCCATGTCGGTGATGAATGGATACGTGACTGGATCGCAAAACGGCAGAGATGCAACACGGATAGTTGGAGTGTCAGCAACCGCATCGGTGCTGCGAATGACGATAAAGACTGAGACTGTGGGCATATTGTGTTATCTTGTGTAAAGAGGTCGAGATGAAGGGCTACTTTCACGAAGACCACCGCAGTCCATATATACGGGGTTAGCTTGCTACCTCAGCAAGCAGTCGGTCGTGCGTGCTCGCAATAGGCCATGTGACCAGAATGGGTGAACCTGTGAGTAGAACCAGAATGACCCTTTGGGAGAATGACCTGGTGTGTTGAGTGACGACGGAATCAGCCACTCTAAACTCATCAAAAGACTTGAAATACCGTCATGAGAAAGAGCTATTTGCATGATATCCGCTGCTTCTCGTCGCTACTCCTTGCTCCTCCTTGCTCCTGCCACTGCTCGTCCGTCGCTTCCTCAGTCCATACACTTCATAACTGCAAACTATCTTCCTGAAGCTTGAGCAGTCTTGGAGCGGCCGCTCATACCTACATAGTCTTTCGGGATTCTTGTATAGCCAAACAGAAGAAGCTGCAATGGTCTAGTGGTTATGACATTCGCCTCACACAAATAGTGCGCGCGAAGGGTCCCCAGTTCGACCCTGGGTTGCAGCATTGTTTTTGCTATTCGCAGTATTGAGCTTGGTAGTTTTTGGAAACTTGTGACGGAGTCTTCCAGTGCGGATGGAGGCCATTTGGTACTTGTTCGGCTGTCCACGATGAGCACGCACGACTGAAAGCTGACCTGATGTAGCAAGCCCGCAATTTGTATATTACTTCCGACCATTCTCATGGATGTGTTCGCGCTACTTCCCACCCCCTTCACGAGATACTTAATATGTCCATCCCAGTCTACATGGTTACTCGCACCACAAACCAGAGTGAGGACCTGATTCCGCTTGTTCGGGTTCGGTCTCAGCGGTTCCAAAATCTGGAGGAGCGCCAGTTCTTTGCCAATCAAAACATCAACTGGAATTGCGTGCTTAACCCTTACTTCAATGGAGATAAGAGCATGGCTATGATCACGGCAGAAATAGCCCGTGACGTCGAGACAACAGTTATGATAGTTAGGAACCCAAGACGGCAGATCATGGAGGCCGAACAGGATCTGCGCGAGGTGGTAGCAGCAAGTGTGCAGGAGCTCATGCCACGTGGCAACCTGACTTTAGACTTCAATGCTGGCAATGGCTGGGCTGATAGAATAGCTATTATTCGTTATGGTTTGGGGTTCCAGCGTTATCACGTCAGATTCCAGATCCATAGTGTGAACGCACACACCGCATGAGGCCGTGCAGGTAGACAGTAGAAGATATTTGGCACAGGTCGCATCAATGGAGCATCACGCACTTATGTCTTTCATCCTTTTGCGTATAGATACCATATCTAGATGTTCATATCGGCACCTGAAGCTATCATCAGAGAATAGCATGATCAAGCTGAGTGGTAGTGTCACCCGGGTCTGACCAACTTACTCTTTGGCAAACACCGAGCCTATAAGTCAACTCCCCCCTCGCGGATTACGCTGTCAACGTCTTCAACATGGCACCCAAAGGCCCCTACAAGGTAGATGAAAAGTACTACGTGATCGTCCGCTACGTAACCCCAAAAGACATCCCAGCTAAACCCAACATCCACGTCGGCTTCTCTCTCTACCCGACAACCTACAAAGGCGACGTGGAGACTTACGATCATCTATCAACGCAGAAACGACCAGGTTTTACGTACATAAAAACTCAGACTCCTCGCTATGATGACGCCGGAAACATGTTCGCACTAATAGCCAGGATTCCCACTATGCCACAAGAAGAAGTTGCTATTCACTATTCGGTTGCTGCGGGAAGCGATACTAGTGAACAAGAGGAATGTAGACATGAGGTTGCTAAACAAGACTTAGTACGGGTAATCGAGAGTTATCTTCCGGCAGGTGAGGAAGCAGAATTCGCTACTTTGGAGGGTGAAGTCAGATTCGAGCAAAGGGATGGGCGACATGTATGGTTTGGAGTTCTTGAGGTGGATGTGAAGTATACGAATCTCGTTGGTGACACGAGGCCGGCGCCTGGAAGTGGAGGATAGGTATGGTAGTCATTGGAGCCTCTCATAATTCAACATACGCATCACAACTGAGATCTACGACATGGGTACCATGTCTCTTCTTACGACACGCCCTATCTACATTGCATCCAGTGCCTGCTCACTCTAACTTTTCGTTTCCTTCTCTAATAGCCTGTCCGTAATCTCCCGCATTTGGTGTTCTCACAATGGTATGCGTGTGGTACTTTGCAGGTTCCTTGTTAGTCAGAAAGACACCAGAGTGGTGGTCAAATTCGACCAAGATAACCGGGCTCTGAATACGGAAGTAGAACGCATCGTCTTCGCCGAAACCTCCGATCCAGCAAAAGTAGGTCTCGCTCAAGTGTTGTTTGATCTGATCGAGCTTGTGTTGGCGCGCCTTCGTGGGATGATATAGCAGGAACTCTTCACATATGGCGAGGACGAGTTCTTGCTGTGACGAGTCGAGAGAAGAAACCAGAACGCCCTCGTAGGGTACGATGCGGTTGTCGCGGAAGGCACCGCATCGATGGCGCTGGTCGTCTGGCCCCCAAGTATCGGTAATGAGCTCATCTCGCTTAGTCTCATCATTATTTGAGTTGCCGTAGACTTGCTTCATGCCTTCATCTCTCATCTTCTTGAAGATCTGTGCCTTTTGTTGTTGCTCGTGGCTGAGACTCTGCATCAGCTTCCAACCCAGACTGCCTTCTTTGTGTAATATCTTGGTACCCTTCCATTCTCCGTCATCGATGATGTTGGGCTCGGCTCCTGTGAACGATGGACTCATGATAACCTGGCTTCCCTTGTAGAAGCAGGAAATATCGAGATGATGGCCATAGAGGAGCCAGCCCCAAGGAGAAGAAGCGGAGGTAGAAGGCGTACCAAACAGCAGGAAGTTATAAGAGTACTTGTTTAAGATGTTGGGTAGCTTGACAACCTCGCCTAAGAAATGGTTCACCCGCATGGCCGCGACAGCCTTTTCGTAGCCTTCTGGGGAAAGAGATGCCTCTACTACTGCGAGTATTGACTGCGCGATACTCTCCGGGACTGTAGCAGTTAGCCCAAGGTCGTAGCGTTGGTAAACTTGAGACTTACCTTCTTCGAGTCTGAGCCCGAATGGCCGCAGTAAGAACTCTGGGTTACTCCATGCCCTCCACTCTCTGGCATTGATCGGGTATGAAATCTTGCCCTTCTGCTCGCTAGTCAGAGCTGCGAGGAGCTCTTCCGCCTTCTTGACCGGGCCATCAACATTTACACCTTCGTCTCGTGCTTGATATAGACCATCCCTTACAGTGCCGTCATTCGTGATGCCTTTGTACGGCTCTTCCAATAGCTTCTCCCATACTTTAGTCAGATCGTACAGCCATGGTGGGGCGCGGTTGTCTTGCATTGACTGGACATATTCGTAGATGTTTTGCTTTGCGGCCGTCGTGAAGCGCGGACTACTGAGGTCTGGTAGATGAGCCCGAAAGCCGGCTGATGCTTGATCGAATGAGCTTCGTCGAGCCATTATGGGAAGTGGCTGTGTTTGGGTTTGTGAAATCCTTTTCGTCCTGAAGTTGGTGTCCGCAGAGTATGCTGGGCCAAAGGGAGAAGCCTTTTCCGCGTAGCTACTGTTCTAGATCACCACTACAGAGGTAGCAAGATCCAGGTGATTTATCTGGCTCCGAAGGTCACGTTGTCTTCAGGCTTGCCTTCCAATCGTGTTCTGGAGATCAAAGAGAGTTTCGGGTGAACCCTTTTCCTCTACGTGAGCTTCGCGACACGTAATGATGAGGTATTTGTTCGTCTTTGCTCACAGATCCAATGATCACACAGCGGTCGTCCGTTAAATTCTCGACAAATAAGCTGTTCTCGTCGTTGAAGTCGCGAAAGATGAGAAATTCTCAGTCTACTCGTGAGATGATTCGGGAAGTCACCCCACATCCTACCCTGAGCTAGCGCGGGGTATGCAGCCCCCCATCGCGTATCCACGGGACTGAAGTAGACTTGCGGCTCGATGTAGACTTCCCAGCCCTAGTGAATCGTGTCGCGACGCATGAAACGAATAGCAAATAATACAATGTGTTCATGCGCTTCTGGTCGGAGGCTTTTCTACACGTGTCGTTGCGACATGCGTTGGAGAGAACGCTCACAAGAGACTGTCGACACAGCTTCGAGTAGGCGACAAGGCCTATCAGGCATATGATGTTCGAGCGAAAACATTGGTATCATGTTGGCCAGGTTGCAAACTGCTTAAGTCATCGAGTGCGACGCTCGATTGATGCTTTCCAGGAATTGCAGCATCGATCCATGTCCTTGGGGTCGCGGAGTGAGAGCGACCTGGCGTCGGAGCACATACGCATCTTCAACATCTTTTGCAAGGTGGGTTCAGCGTCTTGAGATTACCTCAAGATCCTGCAATCACGACCGATGCGATGGTAAGATGTAAGAACGGCTCACCCACACTCCGCGACTCCGCATTTGCCGGATCTTGCGCGTTCATTGATGGCGGTGGGGCGCTGAGATGGAAAGACGCTAACCGTTGCCCCGCCACGGTGGGGTGTGCAGCCCGTAGCTGACAACCTTGGAACAGCAAGCTCCCCAGGCGTGGACGTATTCGGGCCGACAGCTTCCCCGATATATGTTTATCGAAGAAGTGCTTACTGAGTTGACTTAGATAAACTTCGGCTATTGCGACTGAGAGTGACGTGTAGTGCTTTCCAAGGTCCGGAGGCAGCTTCGGAGGTCCTGGTAGGAACATTCCGGCTAAGCTATCTTCCGGTGGCTGAACATTACGCGCGGGAAGGAGCTCGGAAGTTGTGGAGGGATTGAAGCAAAAGCAAGAGACCGGAATATAGAAACGTTTGAGCAGAATCTTAAGAGCTGTCGGGACGTTCTCTGCTTGTCTTCGGCAAAACCAACTCGACA